AGTACAACAAACTGCTATTTTTTAAAATCTTAAGGGTTTTTTTTATTGCATGTTCTGGTTTTTGTACCTTATTCATAGCTAAATTTTACCTCATAGTCTAATATTTCATTTTTGACAAGCTGTTAAGAATTTGCCAAAACTCAGAAATATCCTGTCCTGTTGTGTAGAGTATAGTGTAACACAGGAAAAAAATCGTAACACAGAAGTGTTAAGCTTAAGAATATTTTCTCAGATTCTTTGTTTTTGTGGGAAGCTGAATCTTGATAATCTTTGTAGCTAAATACATCTGTGTTAAACATTTAAAATAGGTAGTACTCATGGGAAAACTGATTGGAGCTTAAAACTTGTACAAATTGACAGCCTCTCTTCACTCCATTTTTCATCCTAAAGAAGTCTGCAAATATTCTTAGCTCACATCATTATTGCTCATCAGTGGTTCTAATTAGCTAAACAGGAGTTTGTCTCAGTCATTGATCATCATCAGCTTCTTTGACAGTGCCTGAATTTTTTATTCTCCTATATTCCACTGGACTTTTTTTAATATGCTGTGAATACATAATGGCTCAATTAATAAAGTTAGTTGAAGATTTTTCTTGGTATTTGTTACCCTTCTAAAAAAGAGGAGGAGGTTGCTGCAGTTCTTACCAAGTCTCATTTCAAGGCACAACAACATAACCAAGTATGATATGTAAGTTCCAGTCAGTCATATTACTTAGAGTGTCTGTGGGGGACTGTCCTGTAATGAGTATTGGAAGCTGTCCTATGCCACCAGGAGAAGCTGCTGATAAAGTTCCATATGACATATCATTTTATACTTTGGGCTCCTGACAATGTCCATTGTGTGCTTAAATTCTGATAATTAGGATTTTTTCTTTAGCTGTGGGTAGTAACTAGTGAAACTATTTTGGGGGGCATTCCTACAGCCTGTGCTATCCAGACGGTCTGGAAAAAAAATCTCAAAGTCAAAAAACCTTGGATTTACTTTAAACTTTTCCCACTCTTTATGATGATGTTAGATCTGTATTTATAAATTGATAGCTTTGTTCAGAGAACTGTTTGAGCATTGGGTAAACTGGGAAAATACTGCGTTTAACTAGAAATGCACTTTGAGCCATTGGCTAGTGTGTGCCTATGTTACAAGCACATCTTTTGCTTTAATGAAGGTCTATTGTTTCTTTCCGATCCCTGACTTTATTCTTCCAACCTCTTTTGTGCAGTCTTGTCCTAAAGTCACAGGGCTCCCTAAGTTCTTGACTACCAATAATACACCATAATTAGCTATGCATACAGTTTTTCAGTTCTCCAGAGCAATTTGTTCTTTTGCTTGGTATTATCCAGTATTTGTGCTTAATTTGACCTCATTTTAAAAAAGACTGAGTTTGTGAGAGGAGATAAGTGATTAGACGAGTTGGGAAGACAGTGGCATGTTGTGGATGGTAGATACAGAATACTGGCTTAATTTAAATAGAAATATAAAATAAAAACAGCTGAATTAAAATGGAGAGGGAAATACATTGCTGTGGGAACAAAGAATTAATAGGACATGGCAGCCAGCAGTTAAGGTTAGGATACTTTGGGGGCCAGAGGCAATGCTATTCAGTGGTTCATGGGGCACGTGTGTGTTTATCTTACTGTATCATTCCTTCTGTGTCTACACTTACTATTCTCAGACCTGCTTTACTTTTTGTCTTTGTGAATCGAGCAGTTATGCATTTGTCTAATCTTAAATTTGTAAGTTCTCTAGCTGTAATGAATACCTGAGGAAACTTGGAATGCTGTAGTACTTACAGTTTAGACACAGATTAATATAGGTTCATCACTTCCTCAGATTATGGTGTAATGTGTTTATGGTATTTTTATACTGGAGCAGTATTTGATTTGTTTAAATTGTGGAATAATGTACAAAACCTATCATGAACAGTTCACCTGTTTCAGAAACATGCACAAGCTTCTATTATTATATAATTTATATAATATAAATAATCTCTTCACAGACATTTTTCTTTACTATCTCCTAGTTTTTAAGGTTGTCTAATATCTTCCAGTACAAAGTTTTATAAGATTATCTGAAAGTCTTTTATCATTTAAAAAAAACTGATTGAGAATGTAATTTCTGTAAGCTAGCTGTGTGTTATAAGCAGAGTGGGTCTGTTTCATTAAGCGTCATGTGTTATGAAACATGTTTGTTGTTTTCTCCCTTGTGCTCTGTTTTTTGTCCTTAGGTTTCTTCAAAGGACATTCCAGCGTAAACTTTAGAATACATCAGATAACTTCATAATTGTGTGGATCTCTGTAACTGCAATCTACTTAGTTCACTTTTAGTAGATGTTCAAATAGAAACTATGAAAAACTGGCAGTACTATATATTTCACTGCTGATGTCTTCCTAGCAACCTATCATGAAAAATTCCTTGATGCTTCTGATTACAGATGATCAGATGCTTTGAGGTTAGGATCCGATGTGCATTTTTCTGTTAAGTTTCTGTCTCAGTTAAAATGTTAAATACCTTTCAGACATTAAATGTCTTTTGGAATACTTATTGAATATTCATGGTTTCATTTTTTTTCTGCTCATTACAGCCTGTGAATTGTTTTCTTTATGGAAGTAGGTTTTGTTGTTTGTTTTTTTTTTTTTTTTTTTTTTGTTTGTTTGTTTTTTTTTTTTTTAATGCTGTACAACTGCTTAAGATCCCATATATTTTTGTTTCTCCTAGCTAAATGTAATTTAAATACATAACTTTTCAGCTAGATATTTCTTAGTTTTCTTCCAGTGTTACAACACATCAGTGCTGCTGTGTTTTGCACTAGGAGAGAGCTACATACAGTTAGGATGCCTTGAGACCTCAGTTTCCAAAAACCTTGCTTTAAATTCCGTACCATTGTTACTTAATTCTTTATTTACTCAAGATCAGACTAAATCATTTAGCACTCATAGAACTTTATTTAAAAAAAATATATAATTGGATGGCCTGTGGGGACAGCATAGTTTAGCCTTTAAAATCCTGATAACAGTAGGATATGCAGTAATAGATAATACTGGAGAAAAATAATTGTCCTTGTATCTACTGTCCTTATTGGTCTCTGTTAAAAAATACTTCATCAAATGAAGCCTTTTGTGTACAACTGGATATTCTCATGCACTTTTGATCAGATGTACAGACTCATGCGCATCACTCTTCCATTCCCTTCCACCTCTGAAACATTCCCATTTTGGTGGAGCAAAAGTTGTGCAAATAGGATTCTCTGGCTTCTAGGGAAGGCTTATATCCAGCCATGATGGAAGTTTAACTGTATTGTGAGAGCGGGGATGATCTGAAGGAGTTTTCGCTGCTCTGTCTCCTGTGATGTTGGGGATGCCTGTAGTATTTGGCCATTTTTATGGAATATCTGTTTCGCAGACCTTTTTTTGCAAATTATTACAACATCAAGCTGTGTGGTCGACGTGCTGGAGGGAAGGGATGCCACCTAGGGGGACCTTGACAGGCTTGAGAGGTGGACCTGTGCAAACCTCATGAAGTTCAACAAGGCCAAGAGCAAGGTCCTGCACATGGGTTGGGGCAATTGCATGCACAAATACAGGCTGGGTGATGAGTGGATTGAGAGCAGCCCTCCTGTGAGAAGGATTTGGAGGTATTAGTGGATGAAAAATGGACTATGAGCCACCAGTGTGCACTTCTAGTCCAGAAAGCCAACTGTATCCTGGGCTGCGTCAAGACAAGTGTGGCCAGCAGGTCAAGGGAGGTGATTGTCCTGTTCTATTCCACTCTCATGAGACCCCACCTGAAGTGTTGTGTCCAGCTCTGGGGGCCCCCAGGAGAAGGACATGGACCTGTGAAGTTGCTCAGCGGGCTGGAGCACCTCCCTTATGAGGACAGGCTGAGAGAGTTGGGGTTGTTCAGCCTGGAGAAGGCTCCAGGGAGACCTTCTGTCAGCCTTCCAGGACTTCCAAGGGGGCCTACAGGAAAGAAGGAAAGGGACTCTATCAGGGAGGGTAGGGACAGGATGAGGAGTAATGGTTTTAATTTGAAAGCGCATAGATATAGATTAGATATAAGGAAGAAATTCTTTACTATGAAGGTGGTGAGACACGGGAACAGATTGCCCAGAGAAGTTTCTGGATGCCCTCTCCCTGGAAGTGTTCAAGGCCAGGTTGGACGGGGCTTTGAGCAACCTGTTCTAGTAGAAGGTGTCTCTGCCCATGGCAGGGATGTTGAAACTAGATGATCTTTAAGGTCCCCTTCAACTGAAACCATTCTGTGATTCTAGGTATATGATAGGAACCGGGTTGTGCTAAGGACTATCTGTATAGCCTTACTGTTGTAACATTGTCTTCTTTCTGCCTAAAACAGAAGGCAACAAGGTCATCAATATTTAAAACTTAGTCAAAAAATAGGATAGTGATGAGGCGAGATTTTTTTTAAAGTGTTAATGACTCATCAGCAGGTTTTCTGTGAATTGTTGCAGAGATGATTATAGCTCTGCTCTTACTAACCACATGGAGAGGCTCTGCTCATCCCCTTTACCTAAGCTTCTGAGCTGTCTTTCACAGGTTCTATCCATGTGAAAGATAGTGGGTTACCCATGATGTTTGAAAGTGTTGTTTCAGACACAGAACTGCCCTGTAGCTGAGACTCCTCAGAAACCCAAGCAGCTTAGTGGCTCTACATTGCCAAGAAGGGAAAAAAGCATTTTGCTCAGTCTGTGGACCAGTCCACTTCTTGCATTTTGGAAAGAATGAGACAGATAATTTCATCTGCTTAAAAATGTATTTTAAGACCTCTTGCTTCTGTTTCTTTTTGAACAAACTTGTATTAGCTGTTGACAGATGTAATTTGCTGTCACTTGCCATATGCTCCCTGATTAATACTGCAAGTCTTGTCAGCTTCAGATAATTTAATTCTCTGTGCTTTAAAATGACATTCATTAACAGGACATGAAAAATTCAAATGATTAACTGCAAATTACGACTAATAAAGTGTCTATTTTTTTGTTTGTTTCCAGAGAAAAGCAGAAAGCTGAAGTCAAGGACAGAAGGGTTTTAGAGATTTTGCAAGCCAAAGACCGCAAAATAGAAACCCTAGAACAGGTTTGTATTATGTTTAAGTAGAGCAGTTAAGAAAACTTCTATCATTGACATGGAATTTATATTTCCTAAAATGTGAAATTAGTTTGCTGCTGTGTCTCAAGGTGAAAGTTGCAAGTGATTCAGAGATGAAAACCTTCTCATAAAGTATTAATTAAACTCTTCCGAGTTGTTCAGGTTTCACCTAAAAATTTCATAGGATTTTAGGTGAAATTTTATAGAAAAGTTTTATGAAGTCACTGCGTTATCTTGCCTAAGGACTAACCTAAACTTGGGGTTTAATGTAGAATAATTCTGACTATGTTTAGGTTTGTAATGTGTCTGTGGTTTGGAAATACTTGCTGTCCTGACAAACAAAAAAATAAAACATTTATGGAGTAATGAGGACTAACCATGTAGTATCCTAAAAGCAATACAGCTGTGTATTTCAGTGTTACTGACCTATAACAATATTTATTAACTGTTAGCATAAACTATAAAACAATACTGACAAATTCAACATGTCATACATAAGTCTTGTGTTGTGTATTCTCTATTGAACTCTTCACTCAAAACTGAGTACTGTGTATCAGTAAAAAAATTTAACTTAAAACTGTGTACACCAAGACATTGGTGTAGTTAAGGAAATAGGAGCGCATTTTCTAAAAATCAAAATAATTACTTGAAAAGTAATCAAAGAATGAGACTTTTTATGAGACTTTTTAAAGTAATTCAAAGCTTTTGAACCCCTCATAGTGTTTGAAATATGATATTTATGAAATCTAACGCTAACAAATACTAAATAAAAACAAGAGAACAATAAACATTGCACCTTCATTTTCTCCATAAACCTGAAATTACTACCTTCTCAAGACTGAGAAGAAAAGAATTTGCTTTTCTATATTATTAAGAATTTTAATAAGAAAAAGTCATAAGCAGACCAAATGTGATATGGAGGAAGAGGAAAAGAATTAGAATAACTTCACAGGTAATAAAGCTGATACCAGAAACACAGACTGAGATCTAAGATGTTCTTTCAGGTGTCTAGATCCTTCAGTTCCTGGGGATAAAAGCCTAACTGATGCATAGTTTTTTCATAGAATCACAGAATAGTTGAGGTTGGAGGTCACCTGGTCTACCACCCCTGCTCAGGCAGGGTCACCTAGAGGTTGCCCAGACCATGTCCAGACAGCTTTTGAGTATCTTCAGGGTTGAAGACTCCACAGCCTCCCTGGGCAATCTGTCCCAGTGCTCAGTCACCCTCAAAGTGGAAAAGTGTTTCCTGATGTTCAGAAGGAACCTCCTGTGTTTCAGTTGGTGCCCATTGCCTCTGGTCTTGTCACTGGACACCACTGAAAAGGGCCTGGCTCCATCTTCTTTTCATCCTCCCTTCAGGTATTTATATACATGGATGAGATTCCCTTGAGCATTTTCTTCTCCTGGCTGAAGAGTCCCATCCCTCTCCTTACAGGAGTCTTTCCTTACAGGAGAGATGCTCCTGCATCAACATCATCTTGATGACCCTTTGCTGCTGTCTTTCCAGTAGGTCCATATCTCTTTTGTACTATGGAGCCCAAAACTGGACACAGGACTCCCGGTGTGGCCACACTTGTGCTGAGTAGAGGGGAAGAATCACCTCCCTCAGCCTGCTGGCAACAGTTTGCTTAATGCAGCCTGTGATACCATTTGCTATCTTTGTCATAGTGATACTTTGCTGGCTTATGGTCAATCTGTTGTCTACCAGAGCCCCTAGGTCCTTTCCTGCAATGCTGCTTTCTAGCTGGGCAGCCCGGGCATATATTGGTACATGGACCCTAGGAAACAAGGTTGTGTGTTGTTCTTCCCTGGGTGAAGGACTTCTCGTTTACTGTTTTGAATTTTATGAAGTTCCTTTCAGCCTGTTTCTCAAGCCAGTCCAACTGCTGAACGGCAGCATCACCCGCTGGTGTTTCAGCCACTCCTCCTAGATTTGTATCATCAGCAAATGTGCAGAGGGTGTGCTCTGCCCCATCATGCAAATCATTAGTGAATTTTCTCACATTTCTGATGGCCTTTACCAGGGTCTTGCTTGAATTGAGGTAAGTTGTGTATCCAGTGGTGTAAACTCAGGTTTCAGAGCTTACCTATTTGTTAGTTAAAAATAAACTTGATACACCTGATTCTTGATGACAAACTACTGAAATGAGGTTATTCATCCTTTTATTTTTTCTTACAGCAGTGGCTGGAGTTTGTGTGTGTTGTCATGTCCTCATGACTGTAGGTGTGATTTGTAATGTGTCTGGTTCATGTATGCACATCATTCATGGAAACCAGCAATGCATAGTTACTCCTGCATTCCTACCCTGTCCTTAGCTGAAAGAGAGGCTACCTGTGTAAGAAGTTTATAAGGATTTGTGTGCAGTGATGTGCTTTTAAGCAGGGCTGCCTGCTGTGGCAGCCTCTGAACTTGTAGTGTGCATCTCTATGAGATTGCTCTTTGTGGTTTCAGATAAGTTTCAGGAGTTGAAATTGATCAGAAATCTGAAATTGATAGTGTGATGCAATTACTGTCTGGAAGTGGAGAGAGGCTGAAAATGTAGCTAGAACCAAGGAAGAATGCTGGGAAAGGAGAGCTTGTCAACAGGACGGGAGGTATTAGCAGATGAGGAGGACAGAAGCTGCTTTTGTGATGATCATCACAACTTTAATGCATGCTGTAATACAACCCTTTCAAATAGCTTCCCTTAGAGTATCATTGATGGGGGGGGGAGAGCGCATTGTAAAGGGCACCAGATGGTGCCAATGGCCAGTGCTGTATGTAAAAGCTGTATATGAAGGTGATGTCATTCTGACCTTCTTGCCTCATCCATTGGCTGGGATGCCACAGGACTGAAACAAGAGGGGGGATCATTTTCTGGGGTTTTGGAGTGGTTTTTGTGATTCGGTAGTCAACAACTGGAGCTAGCATAGACCACAATGTAGTAAGAAGCATTCTCATTTAGTTTTTCCGGATTTGTTCTTTCTTTGTTCATCTACTGAGAAAAAAAATATTATTTATGTAATTAACATGCAACTATGTTGCTTATGAAACTGAGTTTTGGCACTAATAACAATGAACATTCTTTTCTGTAAAGTATAGACAGCAAGGCTTCAAGGCTGGGTATTGCAGTCTACCAATCTGTTACATCTAGGAAGGTGAGATTATCCAGTTGTCTCTTCTGTTGTTTTCCCTTCCTCTTCATGCACTACACAGAGATAGTAGTTGCAAAAATATAATTTGTCATAGGGTATTTACTTACCAGGAATTTCAGAGTGGGCACTAAACAGCTGATTGTATGACTCCATGCGGAGTAAAGGAAAAACGGAAACAAATGACTTATCCCATAATTCAGTATGTATGTAAGCTGATACTGCTGCCAGAAACAACAAAAACCCTAGAAGGCAAACATGAGATAATCTTTCTTCTCCTGTATTCTCTCCTTAGACTTTGTCCTGACATGCTTAAGAGCCCTTTTAAAATTGCTGTAAATAAGAAAGCATATTCTCCACACCCTAGGTGAGATGCATGTAGTTACTTAATACCAAGACTTAAATTAGCTTTATCTGTAATGAGATATTTCAACTGTTTGAAGGAATTCCATTTTAATGGATATTACTGATAATCAACTCAAACGATTAATTTAGAAACTTATGACTGAGAAGTAATGTGGTCTTTAATGCCTTCTGTATAACCTAAACAGGGAAAAAAGTGCTCACATATTCACGAGAATGGGACCTGTGGCTGTATGGGTAAAAATTAGTGTAAGTCACAGTTTTGCAAAACTTCTGCTGTCTAATATCTTTGGAACCGAGTACATACATTGAAATTTTATGTACTGTAGTATGGCTTCAGTCTGCTGTGCACATTTCCTAAATTACAGTGGTGTGATCTTCAATTTTAGATAAATATATGACTTTTTTCTCTTGTCATGAGTTTATTGCAAAACTGCATATTGTGTTAAGCATTTTAAATATGAAATAATGTAAAGCATTTCAAAATGTACCATTCAAAGTCTCAGATAAATATAGTATTTCTTAAAGCACTTCAGTGATTTTTTTCATCTATTATTGCACAAAAGTTCAGTACAAAATGTATTGTACTGAAGTTTTCCACTGTATTTTTCCCTTTTTTTTTGTGTTTTTTTTTTAATTTGTTTTTGTTTTGTTTGTTTGTTTGTTTGTTTTTTAATTCTCGTGTTTGTAATTGGTTGATTAGTAACTTTTGGTCTAGATAGTCCCAGCTGTGTCTCATCTGGCATATATTTGTTCTAAATGCTGCATGGTAAAAATCTTACTCCTTTGGGGTTGGTGGCTATATTGCTCTACTGATCTTACTACTGTCATTTTTGTTTTACTTAGTGGCTCAAAACTCTTTTCTCAGTAGTTATGTATCCTTGCATAGATACATAATTTCTCCATGTGTTTCAAGGAAGAGAATTTCTAACTGCTGCCTTTAAGTGGATAACTCACTATCCTAGAATTTTAATTATTCTTCTTATAAAAGGTGACTGCTGCAGAGATCTTCTTTCATTCTCCCTTCTCTTTGGAAACATTTCCCACCTGATATATTTAATGTGTAACACCTGTGTATGTCTCAGATCACTAGTGCTTTTTATTTTTCTTTTAAAATAAGGTGAAGTTTTTGGGAGAATGCATCAAAATTTTTGGATTTAAACAATTAGTTTAGAGGATAATATGAGAACAGGGAACTTAGTCTTCTGCCATTCATGCAATAGATAAATTAAAATATCTTCACCTGTTTTCTTTAGAAGATTAATTTAAAGATGCGTAAAAGTAGCAGTAAACCTTTTCTGTCTTCTATAACACTGTTAATTAATTAGGTTTCAATTTCGATCTGGAAGAACTAAAGCTAATCTTTTTGTCCTAGACCTTGTAATGTTTCAAAACCTTATCAACTGATTATACTCCAGAGGGGTTAAAATAGTACTAGCTTGCCTCATTATCTGCACTTGAAAATCTTCAGCTTGCTGTGCAAATCTATATTA